TATCAATAACACCACTCGTACCAGCAGCTATATAAGCTTGTGATGACTGTGAGTCTTATCAATAAATACCGCCAGTAGTATAGTGGGTTCTATATTTTTGCAATAGAGTCTTCATTTGTATTGACGGGTAACCCATTCCAAAATTGGATTAGGCTGGCTAACATCGTACAAACGTTATCGAATTTATTTATTTAAACAATATTTTATTCTAATGATCACATAATTTTTCTGATTTCCTATTTAATTTATGTACTCATTATACTTAACTCTAAACCTTATAAATCTACTGAGAAATATAGGTTTACCTTAGTAATGTTGGAAATAAGGTTAAAAATAAATATGCTTCGATTTTTTATGAAATTATAACTTTTTCCGTGTCACTTCTTACACTTGTTGAAAGTTCGTAAAGTAAAAGAGTAGTGGTTTGGATTGACTGTTTTTGTGCCCTTTTATACTAAATTTAATTCATCTATAAGTGCAAGTATCACGACCTTTTATTAATTGTTTTTTACTTGATTGCGTTAGTTATAATATATTATTTTACATAAAATAGGTGTTTTGTCACAACTAAAGAATTTTTTATAGTAAATTTGTATCAATGAAATTTTAGACATATTTTTCGGAATAGTTTAAAGAATTGACATGAATAATATATATTTAACTTGATGACTAATAGACAATAATTTATAGACTAATGAAAATTTAAGATTTATAAAAATAGACTGAATTGTTTTTTATAAACTAAATTAATTTAATAATAAGACTAACTTATAATATGACATTTAAAAAAAGCGACACCGCTCCCTACCTACTCGAATTTAATATTTAATAGAATTCACACCACCTTTTGTGGGTAGGGGATAAAAAATACTTCGTAAGAGGCGAGTAATGAGGTTGTGTCAGATCGTTAAACGGCGTAAAATTTTTGTCAAATAGTATGAGGTGTCCTGAACAAAACTTAGGCGAATTGTCCCATCTCGGATGTACATAGGGACAACAGGTGAGAGGGAATAAAGTAGTTAAAAACGGAGAAGACCTAAAGAATAAGGTGCTTAATACCAGCCGGACAACTTGTGCGGTAGCTGTTTCACCAGTCATGTGTAGAGATCTGCCCAACGCTTGTAGTGTCAACTTTATAGACACATCACCACTTAACTCTAGGCTGGACTCGTGTATAAGAGAGAAGATAGATCCAAAGTAAGAATAGGTACTTGGAATGTTGGAACATTAACTGTTAGAAGTAGAGAATTAGTAGAAGTATTGAAGAGGAGAAAAGTTAACATTTGTTGTGTGCAGAAAACTAAGTGGAAAGGAGAGAAATTGAAGGAAATAGATGAGGGTTATAAAATAATATACCCAGGGAAGTCTAATACAAGGAATGGTGTAGGTATAATAATGGATGAGGTGATGAAAAGTAAAGTAGTAGAAGTAGCTAGGATAAGTGACAAAATTGTAGNAATGGAGAATACATATTTAATCGGTAAATAAATTACAGTCCACTAAAACGTTATTTTTTTTATTTTATTCTTTTTCTATTTAATTTAAAGGAACCTTTAGAGACGCGATTTCATTCGGCGGTGGTTGTCCGAGTATTTCGCGTCTCACAGTGAGCTTGTGTTGAAAATTACTTAGATGATATTTTTTCTTCTGTATAGCTTTAAAAAATAGATTAATTATTTTTGCATTTTCAATATGAATATAATAAGTATATAAAAAATGAATGTTAAATTTGTTCTACACTGATACTATTTAATTATATAAAGTTTATAAATCATTAGTATAAAATAGATGAGTAGATCCGGACGTCAATGTAATTTTTATTGCTTTATTATGATTGTCAATTAGGTAGAAGTATTTTGTATGAGTCAGCTAGACCGTAATATGGCTAAAATAACAATTAAACACGTATAATAAATGATTCTTCAATAAATATAATAAATGCAAGGGGTTAGTCTTTAAACGCTAATAACTGGCGAAACGGCATAAAACAAAATAGTTAAACTCAATTAAAACAAAATGTTATTAAAAATTAATACAAAATTTAACTAAATAAATAAAGTTTAATGAAGCTGAACATAAGGATGGTATATAATTTGCATGTCTGGGTATCACAGGATAGCGTATAGGTGTAGAAGACGTAATGTCGGACTTAATCAGACGGTGGTAAANCGTATAGGTGTAGAAGACGTAATGTCGGACTTAATCAGACGGTGGTAAATTTCTATAGTGATCACAATCAATGAAGGCTTGCATAAATATGGGACCTTTATGATCTTGAACACTAAGGTATAACAATCAAATAATTAATTAGGCCGCATATTAGCCGAATAATTGACCAGCCAAGCGAAAGCAATAGCTGTGAAGGGTATCGCATAAAAAATATGCAATCACTAACGTGTTATAATATCCAGGAATATTACTTTTCAATAATTATTAATATATGAGTACTACCTAAAACTTAGGGGGTTCGGTCGACCCATCGTTCAAGCAACGAGGTTTTTGACGGCGACTGTTTTTCTTCGAGTACATCCTAGCTGGAGGTGTATGAATATGGGTCACTACCAATGTCAGCGGTTCGCAAATTTTCAGCGAGAGCCTCTAAACTTATACTCATAAAACGGAATGTATTGACGAATCTTAGAGAAAATTTGTTTGAAAAGAAATATATCTTTCTTCTATAGCAGTTATTACACTGATTCTATTACTATCTCTTCCAAGGGCTTTAACTAAAAGGTATCCGTTTTACGAGCTGAGATTATGAAAATACAAGTTAACAAAATTGGGGGTTGATAATTTTAAATTGCAATTATTACAAAGCGTTTTTCTATTAATACCTGAAACGAATATATAAATATATATACAGAGTTGCCCACCACTCACTGACAACTTAAATAACTTTTGATCCAGTTAATATTTTTAGTTGATTTTTTTTTTAAATAATAGTTATACGTTAGGTCT